CCCCCCCCCCCCCCCCCCCCCCCCCCCCCCCCCCCCCCCGCCCCCCCCCCCCCGCCCGGCGGCGCGCCCCCCCGTGAAGATCGTTGGGAGCAAGTAAAGAAGAAGTAAGCTGAGAATCTTGAAGAATATTTTAGATAGCCAGAAACAAAAAGGAGGTATCCAGACGGCTTTCTAAGGTACTGATCCTTCTATCCAGGTTTTGAAGTGCTTCTGAATACTTATTAACGAATTGGATCCTAGGTCGATAGATATGACTTTCCAAATAAAACGCCAAGAGTGATGAGCAGCTGTAATATTGCACTCACAAGGAAACCACTCCAATTGTCCGATCGCTTTTTTCACGAAACCTAGTGGACAATAGCTAATCGAGTGTGCTGAATCCGGATATCATAGTGGTTTTGGCGTCTAGGCCTCCAGGCCTCCAGAGATCGGTTTTCTGGAACACCAGTTTTCAAAAACTCTGAAAAATAACCAAAAAGTTTTGTTAATGTGGCATAATTGTAACCCGCACATTTTTTATTAAAATGAGACATCTTCCAGCTCTACCCGACCTTCCTTTCCAAAGTTACAGAATTTATAGGAAAAGCCCTAAGTTAATTTCTTCTTATTTCGGTAGCTTTGAGCTGACAATGAACCTTTGGGGCTGTCCTTGTAAATTCTATAACTTTGGAAAGAAAGGTCGTGTAGAGCTGGAAGATGTCTCATTTTAATAAAAAATGTGCGGGCTACAATTATGCCACATTAAGAAAGCTTTTTGGTTATTTTTTAGAGTTTTTGAAAACTGGTGTTCCAGAAAACCGGTCTCTGGAGGCCTGGAGGTCTAGACGCCAAAACCACTATGATATCCGGATTCAGCACACTCGATTAGCTATTGTCCACTAGGTTTCGTGAAAAAAGCGATCGGACAGTTGAAGTGGTTTCCTCGTCGGGTGTGTGAGAAACTACGACCAAGGGTAACAAGTAATAGATTGCTACCGTAACAGGAAAAACGACAGCTACATGTACGATACGATCGGAAGGTTATAGGGGTCAAGATAGTGTACGAAGAGACGGTCACAGGTTGCACCTCTGTGATATTAGGCAAAATACGTACGGGTGAGATGAAGATTAGACTAACAAAAATCCCCAGAATGACCAAGAAAGGTATAAATGAAGCCACACTTACTGGAGGAATAGGATATGTTGAAAAAACAATTTAAATTTTATACAATTGTTAAATATGGCGCACAGGAATGAATAAAATAAAGCAATTCGACCGAACAGACAACAACACTGGATATAGTATAGCAAGTATCAGAAGCTAAAGATTCGCGATTTTCGCCATTCGAAAGAGAAATAAAATAAAATAAATAAAAATGTGTGATACATGCTGAAGATTTTGGTGATCATTTGTATCTAAAAATGTTTGGTGATCAAACGTACATTTACTCGAAAAAATATATACATTATTTAATAAAATTTGCAATTAAACGTATGATTTAAACAGGGCAACCTTTCATGTACGTTACGTTACAAAGTACTGCTGATCTATTATCTGATAAAAAACAAAAAGAAACTCGTTTTCTATCATGTCTCTTCTACAAATCAAAAAGAAAAAGTAGAAATTGGTTTTAACTTGACGTAAAACTTAATGTCTAACTTTCATTTTCAGCGTAAAAAATCGTTCAATTTTGAGTTCTACTTTGAAAACATCATCAAATTTACGATTGGCTAAAAACTTAGGGCAAGTAAAATGTATCTACAAATTTATGTAGCAGATCTGCATAGATTTTGCAATTTGTGAATTTCTGAGCAAAATCGGCATGCAGATTGTAGACAAGATTTATATCAAAATTCTGGCAGAATCCATGTAGAACATGCATAGATCTGTCGTAAACTGCTGCAGAATATCGATCGGTTCTTGATATTTTATAAACGTAAAGATATATATAGATACTTCTTAAACTATGTAGGATTCTGTAATAATCTGGGACAGATCTGTGCAGATTTTCTTTGTAGAGCGTTTCGTTGCACTTTAGAAAAACTTCGACTTATATTATTCGTCTTTCTATTGCATTCGTCTTATTTTTTTAAACGTTTGTTTCTGCAGGCTCTTCTCCCGTCTTACTTCTATAATTGACGGAAACGTCGTTCATCTCTTTTGTTTTGCATTCTTCGCTCGTACATAAAGAATAATGATCTTGTCAAAAAAACTTGTCAATTTATTTTGATTTCTTACTAAAATCATTGGCATGGTCATTGAGTGTACTTAGTGTGTAAAGAGATAATCGAAATTTTCAATCTTGTTATTCAAAAATTATTTTAAATATCAGTTCATGCCGTGATGAAAATAATGCACAAGTCATTACTGTTCATTGTACAACCTATTTTTGAAACTATTTTCATTGATTGAACACATACGTTCCAACACTCTAATATAGATCAGTCATCAAAAGCACTTTTTATTTGTGTTTATTACTCTCATCCTCGTTCTCCAGCATCCATTATAAAGAACAAAAGTAGTAAGTTCAATTGATAAGAATCAGCCTGTAACTCAAATCAAAAAATATAACTAATTTAGATCAAAGTGTTATTATAGCAATACGTTCAAGAACAATGGTAAGATAAGATAACATCTACTAATTATATTGTTTAATGATCAAAATTGCAGAAAAAGTTTATTTACGTTAAAATAAACATATATTTTTAATATGGAAGACGAAAAGATGGTTTGACTTTTACATGAAAAATTATACTCGCTAAGAAGCCTATTGTATTTGCTTTGTGTTGTTAGAAATGAAAGTGTTTTTGATTTCGAGCTGATATTTTGATGACAATGGTAGTTTGCCTTTACTTAGAACTAAATGCATCAAATATTCCATTGGATTCATATTCTCTTACCATTACCAAGGACACACTGAATAGTGCCACCGCTAATGGCTTGAATAAGGTTTTCATTGAAAAAAATGACATAATAGTTTTTTAATGTAACACAGGTGGACTTATCGGCCCGTGAGGAAAAACACTGCAGTTCTATGGCGATAAAGAAAAGAAAAGCCTGAAGGAGTGTTCGTCTGTCTTGAATTTCGATTTTTTTCATGTTTTCTCAATCACAGACGTTCTTTCGAAGTTTTTTCGGACATACCTAAGCAAAAAAGAGGGACCTTAAATGAATTTTTTCGTTTTGGGTGAAAATATCCAAAAATGGGTTATTTCACCTTGCACAAGTTTTCACTTGCTTCGTACATTTTGTTCTAAAAACTAACATTGACACGAGATTCAGTGTAGCCGATAACCTATGTTTTCATGCATCTCTGAAGATCCCAGACCGAAGAATAGAAAAGTCGCAGGGTTTCGGGGAAAACGCCGGTAGCTGCCAAATGCAACAAAGTGAAACTTTTGCTTAGATCCCATCTTGTACAGGACACTTTGGACTATCTACCTATGAAAAAAAGAATAGATTTTCATGTGTCGCAAAATAAATCGGTGAATGAGTTGTTGTCACTCAATCACACTGTCCCGCGGTTATTTCTCGAAAAGAAAAACCACCCCCCGATACCCGTCGTTTCTGAAGTTATTTCAGTAGCAACCGCAGTGACCGTATATGCTTTATGAACAACCGCAGACAGTGGCGGTCATGATCGGCGAGAACCGCTTGTGCTAATTTTACAAAAAAACGAGCGAAAAATTGACAACCTTCGAGATCCGTGGTTTTTCAGTGAATAACCGGTTAAAACCTCCGATTTACCAGTAATCCACCGGCGTGAACCGGTCTGATATCCGCATGAACCGGCATGTATCGTGTGTAAAATAAAATCACACGCGGTTACCCGTGCGGTTTAGTGAGTATACATTCGTGTTTGGGTAGCAGGCTTTGTCAAATTTTAGTCAGACTCTGATGTCAATTCATTTCTGATGGATAACTGCACTCTAAAAAAACATGCGACTTAGGATCAAATTAAGTCATATTAATGTGCCTTATTCTGTGAAAATAAGACACATTAATGCGACTTAATTTGATCTTAAGTCGCATTTTTTTAGAGTGTTGTTCTAGCTCGTTAGGATAAAAACATTTTGTGATTGAATATCTTTAAACATTAAGATGGTTTCTCAGTTCTATTACATTGTCGTTAAATTATTTATTGAACAAAACTGCCGAGTTAAAATATGGATAAAACAACACCGAACCGAAGTATTAAAGTACAAAATAATTGGTAAGCTGATATTACTATTCTTAGATCGATAAATGTGAACGCTACATTCCAGCTCATATTACATCTGTTGCATAAATAAATGAATTCGTTAAAGATGCTGTTATGTACGGTTGATAATACAAATTGTGCAACATATCACCGGAAAAAAAATAAAGTTAGTTTTGAGTTACTGAAAAGTGCTTTGTCGTATCCAGCACACTCGATAACCCAGAAGATTTTCTATTTTTGATCCGACGTACTTCCGAAAATTTAGGAAAAATTTTCAAACTAATATTATTTTCCTATGGAAATTTTTTTTCACCATTTTGTTTCAAAATTTTTCTTAAACTTTCGAAAGTACCCCTGGCCAAAAATAGAAAATCTTCAGGGTTATCGAGTGTGGTGAATACGAAAAAGCATTTTTCAGCAACTCAAAACTAACTTTATTTTTTTTTGTTCTGGTGATATGCAAAAATTGCAAAATCCTATTTCAAATTTTAACAGAAAAGTTATAAAAAATTTTGTAATATTCGCAGTGTTGAACGTCGATGTGTTGTTGGTCTTGACGATGTAAGGAGAGATGAACATTTTGTCTCCGATTGTATTTTCCATATGGCAATTGATGTGTCGTTTGAAGATGATCCGCTGCATAAATATTTGTCGGTCATAATGCACAGTGATCGAATTTTATCGTGGTGTCCATCAAATGATTTCGATAAGTCATAATTATCTGTTCTAAACACGTATAGTTTTCCGTAAGTTGAACCACACCAAATGAATCCATTCACTGCTATCATCGATTCACATGTATCATTCTCATCATCAAAGGCTGTTTTCATTAGTAAACCGTAAGTTTTTTTATCATCTGAAATGTCATAAATTGATAAAATGTTTGCACTTGATATCCATAGCTGTTGGTCATCAACGATAAAACTACTAATTGATGCTTGATCTTCATTATTGTATTTGACACTGATGATATGTTCATAATCGAAATGACCTTGATCAGTTCGACGTAAAATTACAATATAGTCATTGTAACCCACAAATAATAAATCAATGTGAAGTTGAATACAAAATAATTCGGATGTTTGAGATTCAACAAACAGTTGTAGAATTTCTTCGGGTTTCACCGGAAATTCTACAGGTTTCATCGGAAAAGATTGAAATGATGTTTCACCTTCGAAAGTTAAAAGATAACGACCTTCGACACCAATAGAAGGATCAGAAAAACTGTATTTCTGCTCATCATTATAGATGCAAAACAGAATTTATTATGAGCAGTCGTTTGAGGGTCATAAGTTGTAGTAAGACGCACGGAAAACAGATTGCGAGTGAAATTTATTTTTCGACGTTTTACACACCATTCGATAGAGAATTGTGCGCTGATCGCTGTTTTTGGAGACCTTTTACTGGTTCAAAAATTCAAAAAACTCGGAAGTTGTCAAAAAACCCAAAACCGCAAGATTTCAGAAAAATGGCCGTAACTTTTTCGTGTTTTGCTTCCAACACTTGAAACAAAGTTTTCGGATTCAGAATCGAAAACGATTTTTGTAGAGGTCATAGAGCCAATATTTTCACGTAGTTCGGCTCTCTAGATGCTCAGCTTTAAAACAACAAAGAACTTTATTTTAAATTCCTTTTGATTGCTGAGAAAAATCATTTTTTCTAAATCAGAGGCGAAAAGGTGGGAATTCTGCCCGTAATTCCCAATTTTCTCGATCTGAACTCAACTTTTGAGCAATAAAAGTATCACATTTTGAAGCAGGATCAAAAACTGAGTCGACTGGTGTGTATTTCTATCCTACACGACTACTTTAATGTTTTTCAAATTTTCACGTTAAAAGATTACCGAGATTTTCGCCCCAAACTGAAAATCAACTAAAAATTTCGAAATACACATCAATCGACTCAGTTTTTGATCCTGATTCAGAATGTGGTATTTTTATTGCTCAGAAGTTGAGTTCTGATCAAGAAAATTGGGAATTACGAGCAGAATTCCTACTTTCCGCCTTTGATTAAAAAAAAATGATTTTTCTTAATAATCAAAAGAAATATAAAAAAAGCTCTTTATTGTTTTAAAGCTGAACCAAACTACGTGAAAATATTGGCTCTATGACTTCTACAAAAACCTGTGTTAGATCTGCAAAGTTTGTGTGGCGCTTTTCAGCCATGGGCTTTGTGAAATTTCTTGTGAATAGACATTTGGCTCTTAAAATGTTTTAAGACCATTTTCCTGTTCAGTTTTAAATACAGGATCAGGAAAACATAACTTCAAAAGAAAAATGTAAATAAAACAGAGAAAAATTTGAGGTTTTCGGCAGCGAAGGATTTCTGGATTTTTGAAACCCTTTTAGTATTTTGAGTTTTTTCACGGGAAAAAAGGGTCACAAAAAATCGAGGTACATATATTCTTGATCGCCTTGAAGTCCTCTATCCAACGGTGTATAATATGTTCAGAAATAAATTCCACTCGAACTTTGAATCAGCAGCACCTTACAATTCTCCTAAATTCATTTTACTCCTTTCTGGCTCTTACCGTTTTCATATTTTAATAGGTTATCAGCAGTTAATTGTTGGTCTATATACGTCATTCTTGGTGATTTCGGTATTTGACTCTTATAATGTTGTTGATTATCTTTCAGGAATTCTTCACAAACCTGCCTAACATCAAATTCATGTATTTGTCCCCATGTATTCGTATCCCATATTACAATTTGTCCAGTTTTATATCCTGTTATCATCTGATTCGTTAAAACATCATAAGTGAGAGATTGACACGTAACAGCAACCGATGTGAGCTTAGTAAGTACCGTTCGTGTTAGTGTGTCAACAACAAACAATTCCCCATTCTCAGATCCTACCCATAAATTCATTTTTACAATGTCCAAACATAAACATTTGATTTCCGATGAAAAAGGATATTTAATTTTGTCACAAAGCCATGTTTGAGCATCGTATACCTTCAATTTTGTTCCGTAGGCACACCACAACGATGGATACTCTTCATCATCAACAAAGACCAACGATTCAATGGATTTTTTGTCTCGTTCACGTAATGACGGTTGAATACGATATGTCAGTGCATTACGCGTCTCCTGTGTCAAACATTTGTAACCACCTTCTTTCATCGACGTATATACGCACAGTTCATTACATGCTAACTCCGAAATATGAGAGTTTTTGGCCTAAAAAAATAACTATCATTATTAATTATCCAGTATATTATCTACTTAACTTAGGTTAATCTATGTGATAGAGAAAAGTATTTGTAGACATCACTGTTCGATACTCAGCTTGGTCTGAAAAGCTGAATCAGTTATGAAATTTCATCAGGGATAGATAAGACCTCATTGAAATATGTGTTCTAATTCAGGGATGAAAATATTGATCAGCTTATTTAGCTCTGAATCTGATGATAGAATCAGAGCTGAATTTGCTGAAAGTGACAATTTCAGAGTTGAGTAAGATTTTCCAGGATTGGATCAACTATCAAAGTAAAAAGCTTTCTGTAAATAACAAATATTTCTAAATCCCGAAGAAATTAAGAAGAGTACAAAAAGCTGTGTTACTATGGGTAGACAGATTACTATAAGTTTGAAACGCGATTCCTCAGCCTACAGCATAATATAGTTAGCTAAGTCAGGTCTAAAATGAGTAACTAGCGTATTCAACTGTGAGGTGAAAGACAAAAAAGAAAACTATTTTTGTGGAAGGGACTTTTTAGTTTTTTTCCGAGCTGATTCAGCCCTAATGAAGCTGCATAACTGATTCAACTTTTCAGACCGAGCTGACCGACTAGTAATTAAACTTTTTCCTCAAAATTGTAAATCTGATTCACCTAATCAACAATTACCTGAGGGTGTAGGTGATTTTTATGTTGTTTGAAATTTTTGTGATCGTATGTGATTTCCGATAATACATCCATCAAAAGAATGTTTGTTGATGCTTTTTGTTTAATCAGATGATCGAATTGCTCTCTTGCAATCTTGAAACCGCTCCATAATTCATTGATCAAAGTATACCATAAATCTCTGTCATCTTTCATTATCAGTTTCAGTGTTTGCTCTTTCAAGTTAGGTGCCGATGGTGTTAGTGTATCATCTTTTGAAACTACATGTTGCCAAATCATTATTTTTATACCGGGTTTATCTGCTGAAAATACACTGGAATGTTGAAATTTTTCAATGAGGATGATATCTTCTATATCTGTTAATAAAACACATTGATGACGAGTTTCCGGAAGAAAATATAAACGCTTTTGTGTTAATATAAGATAGCCAACACCGAGATGAGTTTTTGAGCCAGAAGATGAGACCTACAAAGAGGCATAAAAATTTGATTAGTTCAACATAAACTTATTATTCCATTTTTATATTCGAAACTGTTTACCTTCAATATCATTTCTAGATTACGATTGTCATTTGGCAAACATTTTCTCATGCGTTCTCTTTCGTCATATTTTCTTTGCCATATGTCTAAAAATAAGTCGAATAGTGTACCTGGCAATCGCAATGGTTGGTCACTAGTTTTAGTTTGTTTTCTTGACGATGTTAGTAAAGCTACAGATTCTTTCAGTGTTGAATGAGCGGTCCACTTTTTTGTGACTGTCTGTGTATCAAATGATTCTGCTTTCTTCAATGCAATTTTATCTTCTTTCTTTATTGACGTTATTTGTTTTTCTTCATTCCAATGGAGTAATGCGTTAAATAATCTCATTGTTGTCTCTTGATCAGCAACAATTCCCAAACGTTGAACACGTTCACTAAACTGTTCACATGTAACAAATTCATCCGATACGTACCAGTCATTTTGCTCTTCTTCCAATGGTGATTGATAACCGCTTAATTCAACGGTCGAAAGTTGATCAACTGTAAATTTTATTTTTTTCCATTGTTCACATTTTGTGTAAATTTCTTTATCATAAAATGTTTTCAAATCTTCTTCCGATAAATGGTTAAGAACGTCTGATTCGATATATTTACCAGGAAACAATTGAGGATTTGTGATAGAGTAAAAATCTTGTAGACCGTCGAGCAGACGATTTTGTGCAATATAACAGCATCCACGTAAATAATAGTAATTTGATAACACTTGCGGCATTTCAATTTTCGCTGCTTCTAATTCTTGTGTGAAGCGGTCGATGCAAGAATCGATGTAATAACATTGATTTGATGATGTCCAATCTGGCAATGGAAGATGAATTATAACCGAGGGGCTTAATTGACGAGGTGACAGTATTTGATTCTAAAAAGTTCTTAAAAACAAAGTCTTCAATACAAGAAAACGTTTCTTAACTTACTCTGTTCCAGTCATCACCCTTATTTATGTCAAAAAGTTGATCGTGTAAAATTTCTCGTCTAGACTTCCATAATTCACGGAATATGTTTGACCTATGAGTAGACACTAGAGATTCGTACTGTTCACCGATAAATGTATGGAATGCTGAACTTTCGATCAATAATGTATAGAATTCGATCTCACTCTCATTCTTCGTTTTTAAATATTGACTCTTTAGAAAAACATCGCCTGGTTCTACTGGCAATCGCACCGGATCTCGTTGCTTTTGATTTGCGTTTAGCATTGTACTGTCAGGACTTGTTTTAGATGATTTCTCTTTGACAATTCTAATGCAGTTGAGTGTGTCTCCGAAAATGTCAACCATTAGTTCTAAAAATGTCATTGAGATTGTCTCGTTATTTCGTGTTCTCAATAATCTCTCATATTCTCTCAAATCATTCATTCTCATTTTCATTGGTGATTGAAAACCGTTCACATCTGTTCGTTGTTTGATCTCATCGGTTGTTTGTGTCATTTGTTCGATGAAGCTGGTCAATTTTTGTGATGGTATTGGACGAAACTCAAGTATATCTGGTATGAGAATTTGGTCAGTGTCCAAATTGCAGGTCATACACGTTTGTAGGTTGTCAATAATTTGTTGATGTTTACTGTGACAACCCATAATGTAACATCCAACGGGTCCTTGATCAAAATAAATCTCAAGTAAACTCGATGGTAATAAAGGTACGTAGACATGTAACCATTTCAATGGATAAAAACAGTATAGTAAACATTCCAAATTGGTCACTAATTGTGCATATGACTGACTAAAAAATACTATTGGTTGTTGAGTCATTAGAGCAGCAAGAATAATAGTAATATTGCCAATATTCAATGTTGTCAATAGTGTAGACAAATCTAAATCTAAAACGGGTCTGTCGTAGGCCGACGATGGATCTAATGTTATTTGAACATATTGTGTAGTCGAAATTGTTAATGATAGAGAAATACGATTTGAGATTGTTGGTGGTGTGGGAGTGTTGCATAAACGATAAGCATATTGCTGAATAATTTGTTTAAATTCTTGACTATTTATTTGAGCTTGGTTCTGTTTAATTTCGTCGTACAGCATTGATATACATTGATGAATGGCTGCCCAATACGGTTGTTTAGAGATGAAAACGATTGTATACGGTAGAAAAATGTCAATTTTATCAATTGGTGTAATCATTTCTGATAATGAATTTTGACGACTTAAACGTGTTAGTACAGAATTACTTGAAAGAGTGGGGATTGATGATGCTGGAGACATCCTACAAAAATAAACTAGAGAAGTTGTTTTGAATTATTTTCATACAGCCATAAAATTAAGTTCACAGACCCTTTAGGATAATGATGGTGATTTTCTGAACAACTACCTCGTCTTAGTGTAGCCAATGAACCTGACAGATTAGTCGGCGAATATCCAAATGAAACTGGAATTTTCTTCATTTTTGTTGTTGGAAGTAGATTTAAAGTCATTTCGGATCGATGTTGATTCAGTGTATGTTCACTACCATGACCTGTGTACTGTTTTTTATCGCAGAGATCCGGCTGTGATGTATCGAGTGGAATGTTTATTTTATATTTCGACTGTTTTTCAGAAGATAATGTTCTCGGTTTCATGTCTGATTCTATCTCTTTTTCTAGCTGTATTTTTGGTTCAATAATCTCTCCTGTACCATCAGCATTCATCTTGACCAAATATGATCGATGAAATGTTAATGCGAGTGCATATGATCGTTCACCTTCAGCCGCTGTTAAAACGAAATTATGTACTTTGTCTTGTTCACACTTATCTTTTGCTTTTACACCATCAGGAAAACAAAACAATGGCACATTTTGGATTACCTCCGGTTGTATAACAAAATGATGAGAATGTTTTGATCCTGACGATGGTGGTTTCAGTGGCGTGGAACGACCACTTGAAGTATCAGATTTATTTGTGGAGTTTGAATTAGTTCGAACACGTGGAGGATACGTCGGATCATAGCTAGGTTTCGAACGCGGATAGTAAGCTGTGTCTGATGTGACAACAGCCACGACACTTGACTCGAAGTCAACATCAAATAATGAAAAATGACTTATATTACTTAAATCCGGAGAATCAAAACCCACACAAATAATTGCATCGAGAAAACTATTGTAAAGATGTTGGCTCATTTTTGTTTTCTGTTTAGAATAACAGTGCAGGCTCTTCCAACTTGAGAGTTCGTTCTGTTATTTAAACACATGATTAATATTCAAAAAAGTTATCTATTTTCTTTCCGTTTTTTTTCGTTTTACACTCTTATCTCAATTTCTTATACAAATGACTCATATACATCATACCAACCTGCTGTTATATCGGTCTTCGAATAACATTGTGTGAACGAGCTAAATTTCAAACACAAAGCAAAAAGCCGATTATCAGTCATCATATGGTATATTTCCATTCTTAGATCTATTCTGTTATGTAAACAAGATCAAGTGAACGATTGTAGACAAGGTGCATAATGTTACTCCGACAAACAAACTACAAACTATAAGATTTTTCATTAACTCTTTGAATGGCTTTTTCGAATTATTTCGTGAAAACTATAATTGATTTTTGTTCAAAATTGAATGTAAAAACGTTACTTGAATTATGTTCGTATTTTCATGTGTGATGGGCATTAAAGTTTTTTCTGCAAATAACTCTTTTTCTTATAGATTATTATCATTATTCAGTTATCTCGAAACGAAAGATGAATGCTTTTAAAAAATTCGTCGTAGACGGCCAGAGGAAAAAATATTGATAGAGATTTTTTTCATTCAAAACTTTATATTTTATAGATAGTTTGATCCAATTTCATACTTGAATTCCTAATATGGTATTTGCTTTCACTGAAAGAGCAAAAAGAAAAATTGATTTATACTTTAAAAAACGTGGATTTTTAGAAATTGTGAAGCGTAGATTATTAGCCGTTATAGATTCGCGTGTACGCAGAATAAGTAGATGTATGAACAAAAATGTCTGATAACTCTGCTTTGTTTCCGAAATGTGAGCCATACACTGTAATGTTGGGAATTATTTATAGAAAATGCGCGGCGATTTTCAAAAAGTCCGTATATAAATTCCTTGAGAATTTTCTAGATTCTAGAAGATCGAATTTACAAGAAACCTGAAAAGTCGACCTCGATTTTCCAGCATTCTGAAAATTCGAGGTCTAATTTACAAAAAAACCTGAAAAGTCGACCTCGATTTTCCAGGTCGAATTTCCAGTTCGATTTTCTAGAAGTATGGAAAATACTCAGCGATTTTTAATCGGGAAATTCCTCGGCGATTTTATATATGGACTTCTGGAAATTCGAAAAATAGAATTAATTCCCAGTTATCGGGAAAATCACCGAGGAATTTCCATATTATTGCTTGTGTAGTATTGAAGCTACACAGACAAGTTAGCTGCAATGACAACTTAAAATTTTAGACGTGTTATAATACATTAAAATTACATCCTAAATTCTGATAATGCGCTTTGGGATTAAGTAACGCTTTTTAACATTATCTTTTGACATTAAAAGGGCGAATATGGACTAAAATAACACCATTGGAACGCATCGAAAGGTCAAAAAATATGTCTTTTACGCGTTAATGTTTTCTATCGTTGCATCGACAAAACGTTTTACAACGCGTTCACAATTCGTCTAGAAAATTTTCAGAACTTTCGCAGCATTGTGATACGTGTGTGGATGCAGAAATGATGTTTTAACAAACTTTGACCCATAAAGACATATTTCTATTGATATTGGGGACGGTGAAAACTAAGCCCAAAAAATCATGAGGAAAAAACATAACGAAATAAGCAAATGCACTGATCAATCGTTTCAATGCACTTAAAACGGTTTCGTACTGCACCTTTTCTTCTACGAAACCTAAAAGGGTTTAGAAATGATTGCACTTCTCTATACCCTTTTAAGTTTCGTAATAAACCTTTTTTTTTAGAGAGCAGTGGTGCTATTTTAGTTCTTAGACGCGTTTTTGCTCTCGGAAGGTAACGTTAAAAAAAGTAACGTTAGTTAATCCCAAACGCGCGTTATGAGAATTTAATGTACTTTTAATGTATTGTAATGTTATAAAATTTTGTTGGCACATCTAAGCACGTTTGTTGTTGGCGTGCAGACACAACGCGTTTTAAGTATTATGTAAAGCAAACAGTACGTTTTCCCTAACGCGTTCGCTAAAATGCATTTAGATGCGTTTGAGTCGAATAAAACGCGTTTTGAAGTGCAGTTGAACTTTAAGTACACTGTAAAGTCGGGAATTATTTATAGAAAATGCTCGGCGATTTTCAAAAAGTCCATATATGAAATCCTCACGGATTTTCTAGATTATAGAAAATCGAATTTCCAATAATGTAGAAAATCGACAT